TAAATATTAATAAAAATATGTAAAACGTCAAAAAGATAAATTTCTAATGTTAAAATAAAAATACCTAAAGATCACCAATATATTATTTTCCTTAAGGGCTGTTTAAATATTAATAAAATTATGTAAAACGTCAAACAGATAAATTTCTAATGTTAAAATAAAAATACCTAAAGATCACCAATATATTATTTTTATATATATTTTATTTTAAGGGCTGTTTAAATATTAATAAAATTATGTAAAATTATGTAAAATTGTGCAAAACGTCAAAAAGATAAATTTCTAATGTTAAAATAAAAATACTTAAAGCTCATCAATTTTTCATGTAAAGTAGTCCCTTAAGTCATTTTAAAAATATTTCAAAAATATTTTTTCACTTTCCGATAAGAGAAGAAAAGAGAGAGATAGACTGTTAAGAAAATCAAAATTCTGATAGCTGTCAAGTGGTTTTCCCCTCGTCAGATGATAATACCGAAAGTTTCTCTTCAATGCAAAATGAAATAAAAAATTACACACATCATACAGAAAATCGCTCTAGTTTCGTGATGATGACGCATGCATGAACGGACGGACGCACCTGCGATTGCAAAAATGCGCGAATTTTCACGCATGAACAGTTTTCGGCGTCGCGATGTAGTCGAGCCACGTACAATCGCGAGCACGAGCGAGCATTCGGCGAGGACGACGGATCACGTCTTCGGCTGTTCCTTGCAGCCACAAGGGATTCTCTCTCTTGGCTGACGCGATACCGTCTTACTACTTCGAAGAATGGATTGGCACTTTTGTCCGCTTTGGCCGCAGGGAGCTCGTCACATTGATTACCAAAACTGCTTATTTACCTTGCTAATCTTGATTCTCCCTCGCAAACTTTTGTATTTCGCTTCGATAAGGAAATCCCGACGACGAATCAACGACAGTTTCGACGACGGAACATGAATTAATTGAACGCCGTGAATACTTTTGTAATAAAATTTTATAATAAAATTATTATAAAATAAAATTTTTGTAATAAATTTTTATAATAAAATTGATATCTCAAGAGGAAATATTACAGGATATATTATAATCAATTTTTATAATAAAATTGATATCTCAAGAGGAAACATTACTCGTTGAATGAAAAATAAAGATCGATTCATTTAATATCTTTACGATCAGCGATATTATTATCGAAATAATTTTGTAGAAGAAAATGTTGATTAAATGAAACTAACTTGAAAGTGCAATTAAACTGCGGAACATTGCGCCAAGTTTTTTTATCGCTTGGAAAGTTTACGCTGCGACACCCCCGAGATCGAACACACATATCGAAGATTAAAAAACATTGATGATTTTTCACGATGTAACAGCGCTCCTTTTTTTTATGCGCAGTTTGTATAAACTTTATTGACACTTTATGGGTTAAGAATCGAAATACAATTTAGCTAAATGTCATCTACAGCTGTAACACGTGGCCGTTAACTTTAACGTTAACTTCCACCACTCGTGCGAACGAGATATCCGAATCGATAAGGGATGTTCCACTATCTATAGGTAGGACACACGCTCCTTGCACTTCCTCTCATGCGCAGACTACTATTAGTACTGAACTAATTCGGAATAGACTTATTCTTCATAAAAATAGTCATATCGACATAATTTGAGTTTAAGACGTTTTATTGTATAATTAAATTTCAATCAAATGAGTAGAGAAAAATGATAATTTATTTTTTATTAAATTATAAGTACAACTTTTTCAACAATTTTTTTTTTATTTGAAAGTTAATTACAAAATTATGATACATTTTAGTTTTAAATAATAATACAAAATTGTTGGAAATTTTTCACTAAAGGAAAAATTCGAGACTGATTGGAAAATTCATAGAGAACATAAGCCTGTCATTAATGTAACATGAGTTTTTTGGTTGGCTTGTAAAATATGAGAGATTTAGTTCTTTCAAACGAATAAATATAACTTTCTACACAGTGAAAGTCCGACCAACTGTAACAGATGGCTCCGTGACTAGGGCGTTAAGTTCCGGTGAACTCTGAAGAGTACCAGACACCTATTCCCCTCTGTTCGTGGTTCGAAGAATTTAAGAACCCTCTGGAGAGAGAAGAAAAAGAAAGATTGCGCCAAGAATTTAGCAACACAGATACTCGAAACAATTAAAAAGAAAATATAAAGCGGTAAATTTTTGGCAAACTCTAAATTTTTTATCATTTTTCAATTAAACAAAATCAGAACATAAACAAAAATAAATGGCAGAACGTTGCTTTTATATCGATTATGAAATATAAATTGTTTATTTGATACATAATCTTTAAACATTATAATTTCAAGCAATTTCTCTTTATTTAAAATAACTTGATTTCCACGTGAATTCATGTGTATTTGACGTGAACGATGTACGTTAAGCAAATACCTTCATCAACATAATGAGAAGGAGATTCTTGAAAATGTTTCTTCTGAAATTTAAAATTTAAATAAAATTCTTTCCAAGGGAAAAGATAATATGTGCTGGATTGTTCACTTGACAATATTTGATCCCGACCTATTAGTCGATCTATCAAGCGACTCAATTGCTCTACTTTATGCGGCGCTCTTAGTTCTTCATCTACTACACTGAGGGAAAGATTTTTTTAGATCAAATAAATTTGTTTTCTTGAAACTTTTACTTTAAATGCAAGGAATTGTTTATTTCATTTAAGCAAAAGCTTTTAATTTTAATTAAATATGCATGTTATATATTAAGTATATTATTTTCATTTATATATTTTTTATATTTAAATTATAAAATTATAAATTATTTAATTATATATTTATATATTTTTTATATTTAAATTATTAATTACTATTTTCGTAAAATATATACTATAATTTATTAAATTAAACATATTATTTTCTAAAATTAAAAAATTTAAAATTTTTGGGAATAAAAAATGCATTTTAATAAATATTTTGTGAAAATTAAAATAAAAATAGTGAATTAAAAATTATATTTTTTTAAGCATATATATATATTTTTAAACATATGTAAATAAATACTTAACTTAAGCAAACAGACGTACCCACCGAATAAATAGTTTTCTTGAGTTAACTAAAATTTCTTTATTTCGAGATAATTTTTTGCTCAGTGTAACGGACAACGGTTCCAAAGTTGGAACGAACCGGTATCGAGATGGATAGGTTTCCCTCCAGAGAATAATAGCCCAACCTCATCAGAGGGAGTTATCGCCCAAGATCGGCGTTAAGCGTTGTTCGGCCGTCTCAAGTATCGGAGCCGCTTCCATCGTCCAACACGCGCTAGTGACCCTGCGGTTGCGGCAGAACTGCACCAAACTTCTCCCCATCTCCAGTTTCGCCAGCTCTCTATCTCTTCCCTTTTCACTTCCATGATTCACTTCCAGATTGCCACATTTATCCATGCGCACCTACGACCCGTCGTAATTACGACGCCGGACTATTGAAGCTCTAATCACGAGGCGACAACTGTCCTCTCCGTTTCTCTCCTCTACCCCTTCTCCCCGTTTCCCTATCACCCTCTGTCTCTTTCCTGGCCGCATATCCTTCCGGACGGATCTCCTTTTCCCTGTCCCCCTGTCCCGCCATCCGTTGAATACCGGCAACTGCTTGGAACAGACGCGGATGACAGGCTTCCCCAGCGTCTCTTGGTAGACATGTGTATCCGACCTGCCACTGTCTTTGTGATATGCAAGATCAAGCGGACCATTCATTAAACGATTGAAATTGTCATTAAGGGAACCGTCGAACTTGTCATCGACGAGCTTGGAGATCTCTGAAGCGAGCTTGCAACTACCAGTAGGTCCGATTTATGCCACCGTGTAATCAAATCGCTGATGTTCCGACTGAATGAAAGGCGATATGCTAGATGGGAGATTGAAGCGAATCGCCCGAGCAAGGTGTAGGTGTCACGTACGATTCGGCCTTATTTATTAATTATTAACGGTAGATGTTATGGAACGTTATCTTTTGAGAAAAGGAAGAAGCTAGTTTACTTTATTGAATACATCTCGGAGATAAGAGGATTGTCTCGGCGAACAGAAATAAGACAGAATAATAAGAAACACAAGGAAAATTTAATAACATTTGCGCCGAATGAAGCATTCGTACAAGCTGAAGATATACGGATGATATGTGACACACCCACACAAAACTATATAATTACAGAATATACATATACAAAATGTACACTGGTATTCATAGCGAAATTTCAATGGAGCCAACTTCATTTTTTACGATCACTCGATAGACGCTCATTCATTCCCAGCGATCTGCATATAACGAAAGCGGAAGAGAACTCAATCATCTTCATTCGCAAACTCGATTACTCGCTTATTCGAGTCAACTGAATAGTATTCATGGCAGTACAATAGCGCGACACTTTTCGCAACTCTTACTCACGCAGTTCAAAATATAGATAACATTCGCTAATCTAACTGTATGCTATCACTGCGCTCCAGACGCAGGATCTTTCAATGGGATCCCTTTATCGAGGGGAATAACGGAGAACTGAGTGAAATCCCCTCACGTCTTGCGAAAACGAGGGGAAATCAAATTTGCGCAAACACTTCGATGTTAACGACACAGATATCCATAAAAATGAGTTTCTATAAAAATCTCCAAAACCTTCAATTTAAAATTACAGATACAAGATGTAAATGGCATTGCGCATTTATTTATTACGTATTATTATTATACAGAGTATTTCTTAATAAGTGCGAAAAATTTTAAGAGATGAAAATTATTCTCTGTTGAAAATTCTCTGTTGAAAAAATTTTAAGAGATGAAAATTTTAAGAGATGAAAATTATTCTCTGTTGAAAATTATTCTCTGTTGAAAAAATTTTAAGAGATGAAAATTTTAAGAGATGAAAATTATTCTCTGTTGAAAATTATTCTCTGTTGAAAATTATTCTCTGTTGAAAAAATTTTAAGAGATGAAAATTTTAAGAGATGAAAATTATTCTCTGTTGAAAATTATTCTCTGTTGAAAATTATTCTCTGTTGAAAATTAAGGAGGATCTTTCATATAAACATATACTATATCTTACCCTGTAGAGTTACATTCCTCCAAAAATGGAGGTAAAAATTAGGTTTTCATTTTTTTTCAAATTTGAAACAGGTTAAAGAGTTATCCACTCAATTCCATTTCTTTAATCTTAAATTTAATTCTAAATTTCATTTATCTATCACGTTAATAGATCTCTCTAACGCGATATAATGTTACAGAGGGATCTCACAGAAGAAAGAATGTAATAAACTACAATTGATGTCGTCCATTCCACCTTCCACAATGAGACCCCCGCAATTTTGATTACCACCGTAATTATCGGGTTCGTTTGGCCATTTAGTATTCCATCTCGTAAACCCAGTATTTTCTAAGGCCTCGCCCTTAACAGTAACCCAATCACCCTCTTCAAAATAATCATGGAGCCCAAGCCAAGCCTGGTCGATGGTTTTCTCTTCTAGCATACGCAAAAGGACCTTCTCCTCCGATTCCGAATTGATAATCGCCAAATGACCTAATGGCATGGTATAATAAGTATAATGGAGGTATTTTGCTTGAGACTATCGTTATTACGTCAATTCTTTTCAGACGGTATAATATTAATTATGAAAATTCGCGTAACACGTGCCCGTAAGCACATTAATGACCGTTTGATTGCAGTATTTTTTTTTACCTCCTTCCTGGTCACAAGCTTGGCGAGCTTTGTTCCACGTGAGTTTGCGTGGATGAAGCTTGTGCGCACTTATTCCAGGTGTGACAACGTAGCCGTTCAATTTTGCCTTATTTTTTGTTGCGTGTTTTGATGGTTCTTCATTGTATATATAAAATATTTGCTGACCCACTTGATAATTATTATGTCCGTTCATAACAACTACATGCTTCTTATTGAGTTCCTCTGATAGAAGAATTAAGAGATATTTTAATATTATTTTCCGAAATATAAAGAATAATAAAGAATTTCGCATTCTGCTAACATTTCAAATTATTTTTGTACTTATGTAATAAATCATGTCTAAGAAAGCGAATGAATCATGGGGAATCCATCCACTTCTCGCGATAACTGATAATCTAGTGTTTAATGTTTATAAAAAAAAAACAATTTTTCACAGTAATTTATCTTTTTTTCCTTTTTAAATGTTAAAATATTTCTTTTTATTGTATTTACAAATGGTATAGAGTGATGGGAGAAACGGTCAAATATCTTGGGAAATAATGATTATGGAAGAAAATGTTCCATACAAAAGTTTTAGTATATGAAATGGTCTATTATATGATTATATTGAAATGATCTTCATGTGATCTTGAAGGACACCCTAAAGTTTCCATTTAAGATTTCAAAGTTGACCTTCACGGTGTCCTTCAAGGTCACATGAAGGTAATTTCAATATAATCATATATATAATAGACCATTTCATATACTAAAACTTTGATATGGAACATTTTCTTCCATAATCATTATTTTCCAAGATATTTGACCGTTACGAAACTTTCTCCCATCACTGTATAATATATTATTGGATAAGAAAAATGTTTACCTTCTTCATTTGGTGTTAGCGATTTTGGATCGATCTGAGTGTCAGCTCTTACATCAAATGAACGTCCTTGCGTTTGATACCAAACAATAAAAAGTATTGGAAGATACTTGAGCATTGTTAAATGTTGCTAGTTGACAGGCTTGTGAAGTAATGCCACAACTGGACAGCTAATGTCTTTATAATGTCTCGTTCGGTAAAATACCGATGACCCGAGTTGGGTTACGAGAGCAAAGATTAAGATTGTAAATTATCTGCTGATTTCAATAAAGTAAATAAACTATACTACTGCGTATAATCGCGTAACTAAGCTGCAATTACGTAACGAACGTAATTTCCATGATTTAAATCACTTGTTTTTTTCAACATCTCGTTTTTTTTATTCTATTACATAAATGTAAGACTCTTTGTGATAAATTTGATCTGTAATATTATGCAGATAATCGTACTGCAGACAATCGTATTTTAATGGAATTGTTAATCAAAGGATCAATAGAAAAACTGTAGTCGACCAAACTAGCCAAAAAAAGTTTTAGTTTATTAATACGACGTTTCGACCATGTGGTTGTGGTCCTTATCAAGTATACACTAAAAAAGATTTATAAATACATAAATTAACGGTTTGATTACATAGCAACGCACAGAGAATTAAAGTGTGAAAGATTTTTACCGATGTAATAATAATCAGAAGGCACCATAACTGATGAACATGTAAAACACGTAATCACATAATACAAAAAACGTTATTTAATTAAATTCAAATTTGAGAGAAGCTGATGCGTCCATGTGAGACTTCGTCAATAAACTAAACATAACAGGAAGAAAAACGGTACTAAGTGACCTTAATAATTTTGTCGTAAATATTATTCAAGTTATCTGTGTCAGTCTGTAAGTTGATTAGATTTTTAGATCTCTTAATAAAGAACATTTCAGCTATCTCTCTTTTGCGAACGTACTTTTCATTGTGCAAGATATTTCGACCAATCGAAATCGTGTCCGGATTCTAATCTATGTTTGCTGATAGCGGAGTGATTAGACTCATGTAATTTTATATTGTTACAGTGTTCTTTCACTCGGGTCCGCAAATGTCTTTTTGTTTGCAATGTAAGATAAATTGCAATCCCTACAGTTTAATTTGTATACAACACTTGTCTTGTCGTTATTGTGTAAGGTATCTTTACCACATCTAATTAAGTTATTAAGTTTTTTTGTTACTTTGTAGACGACGTTGAAACCACTGTTTCGTAGAAGACGGTAGAGATCTTGACTCGTATTCTCTACGTATGGTATGGTGATAAAATGAGTTTTAACTGGATGAGTAGAATTGGCGTCATCAGTGTCATTGCAGTCGCGATTGTTTAAAAAATTGATTCTTTTTCGGAATTGTTAATATTGTGTTTTTGATTCATAAATACTAGATTTCTCATTCGATCTTTAATTTTTTAACATTCGATCTTTAATTTTTTAACATTTTTTAAATACAATCCTTTTTTTGGCAATTCTTTGCTGTTAGAAACTAGAACCGGCTATCTCTACGTTGAAACATGTTATAATTCTATTTGCGAAACGCAGGTAAAATTGGCAAAGATTCTAAAATACTATATTTTAAGCGCATTTAATATAATAAAGAAAAAGTAATAATGCAATGATGATTGCATAATTTGCGATCGTTAATCGTAAATCAGCTGCTCCTCGAATAATTTAACTCGTATCTGCGTGTGGGATGTACTTTATATGTGCGCAAAAATGGAGAGGCAATAAATATGGCAATGAGACAGAATTTGTAGCACAAACTTTCAATGAAAAACGATTTGAATTAAAGGCAACGTTGCCAGAATCACTCAGGACTTTGTTTGTACACATTTTTTTCCTCGAAAAAGGAAAAGAAATATTAATAGCTTCTAGCAAAGAGTTTTCGCACGTTCGCTCTATCAAATCCGAGGCACGTGTGAGTCTAAACTATTCTTTGCAAACTCGATGATAGAATATTTGAAAAAAAAAGGAAAAAATCTTTGAAGTACTCACTCATTCTCCTCAGATTTTAATTCTTCTTCTGTTTTGCCACTAATAGCTTTACGTAATTTTTTTATATAACTTTGGATACTTCTTGTAAACGTTTTCTCTTTGATTTAATACGCGGTAAATTTATCTCGATACTTCTCCTCTCGTGCAGGCTCACCATTAGTTATAAAACAGGTTTCGCGCGCAGGTATCCATAATTATTTATGCACTTCTCTCTTAGTTTTTATAAAGTGCACAAATAATCGCGAAACTGCGCGGAAACTATTTTAGAACAAGCAAAACTTGGCAACTTGTAAGTTTTTTTACCTATATTTTATTCTCGTCGCCATTTTGATCAAAATCTTTCGCTTCTGAAACTTGTGTAAAAGCTATGAATTCTTTAAAATTCGATAAAACGTAATAAAAAATTTCATAGGATGAAATAAGAAACTACCTATGTGAATTTACATCTTATGTTAATTTATGTGTTTCATCATATGTTAATTTCTCTTGAAACAATTTCCTTGATATAATGAGTATAGCTATTTCTTTAATAATCGAGAAATTTAAAATGATAAAAAATAAAGATTAATTAATATTCTTAATAATTTATAAATTTAATATGCTAGTTTACGTTATCACATCTTATATTAATTTACCCTAATTTTTCTTGAAATAATTTTTTTTATTTAACGAGCATAGCTATTTCTTTAAATAATTTAAAGTTATTAAAAGTAAAGATTAATTAATATTCTTAATAATTTATAAATTTAATATTCCAGTTTTTTTTTCATACAAATACATACATTGTGAAAAAAATATCTTAAAAATATCTTATAACTTCAAATCTGGATAAATTGATTAATTATCTGCGTCTAGCTAAACTTAAATTAAATTTAAAATGAAAAAAAAAGAGAGACATTGAGAAAAATATAACGTACAATGAAAAAGAGTATCGGCTAAAAGTTATCCATCTAATTAAATATAACAGGTTATCGAGAAATAGTGTTTATATTCACATTATAAATTATTAACTCGACATTCTATGATCAATCCATTTATCGACATTCTATGATCAATCCATTATCGATATTCTATGATCAATCATGTTATTATAGTACGAGAACAGGGTAAGGTATCATATATTATTCAACGACAGCTCGCGGCTATTGGTTAATGAATAATTAGTCATAATCGCTAATGGACACAGTCACAGGACACTTTTAGCTGCTAATTAATAACAAATAATAATAATTATATAAAACAGATCATATCATTCAAAGTCAAATGTAATAATCACCTTTTTGATCATCTATATATATTTGACTTAGCAAAAAGATCGCGCATGAAATAAATAAGGTTCTTTCGTGTTAAGAACACTGATTGTTGACTGTGTTAAGCACGAGAGGAGAAACTTTCAGACGTGTGAGTGGGAGAGAAAAATTCTTCCGAATCGCTATTTTTAAATTACGAAAGAAGGAATTTAGCGGATCTCGCTTCGTCTACAAAAAAAAAAGAAGACTCTCATTTTGTCCCTCAAATATATCCAATTCTCAAGATTCCATCTGCTCAAGAACACAATTGAAGTCACCGTTGTAAATAACTTCTGCAGGAAAATCGGATTGCCCTTCCCCTCCTATCCCCCCCCCTCCCTCCCGCTGTCTCTATTATCTTATTTCCGTATCTTCAGAATTCATACATTTCCGCAAAAGGTGAGATATAAAAGAGGAGCGGATGAATTATTTTTAAGAGAAGGTAAAAAAAAAAGGGGGAATAAATTTGCTTATATATAATATATTCTCGAGTATGTTCTCGCGCAAAAGAGCAAGAGAAGAAAGAGCAATCACCCGAAATCTTATTTATAGACTGCTCGACCTTCTTCCCTGATCGACGTGATCGCGATAATGTATTCCAAAGAAGAAAAATCAAACTCGCGGAAGTCTCTCTCTCTCTTTTTCTCTTCAAGATTCATCCGGCCCTTATCCAAGTCACCACCATCCTCCTTTTCGGATCCAAGTCTCTGTCGAGCACTTTTTTTCCGCGGAAACGATCGGAAAATTCCTCCTCCCGATGACGCGCTCGACGAAAAACAATTCCCGAACAAAGTTTCGGGAGCGTCGCGCGTCGACGAAATGCAAAGCGTAAAACCGGATTAAGCGTGACGCGGACGACGGGAGTCAATCAATGTAATTTACATAAATCCGAGGTGACGGAGCGGCTGCGAGGCTACGCCGGAGAGACCCCGACACGTTGTCGGAGGGGGATGATTTACACGGGCCGGGCTTCATCGCTTCGTACGCATCAACAAGATCTGCATTCATTTTTCTTGATACGTCGCGACAAAGCTATCCATTGTCGACAGCTTTGTCGACGTGCACGTGTCAATGCGTCTCGTTGCGCTCGCTGAAATCGCGAAAGCGTGCAAATCCCGAAATAAACGCGACGCTCAAGCCCCAAATGTTTGCCGTGCAAATGAAACTTACACCGTCAACGCACGTCATACGCGCCCGAATCGCCGCGCACACATTACACTATGTTAACTATTCAATATACATTGCATTTACCCAACCTGCAGTCTCTTTCCAATTGTAAATCTCATTACCCGCGCTAGTGGAGCAGCTCATACAGCACAGATCATTGTTACATTGCCGCAATATTGTATCAATATTGCAGCAATATTAAAGCAGTATTGCAGCAACATTGCAATATTGCAATAATATTAAAGCAATATTGCAGCAACATTGCAATATTGCAGTAATATTAAAGCAATATTGCAGCAACATTGCAGTAATATTGCAGCAATATCAGAGCAATATTGCAGCAACATTGCAATACTGCAGCAATATTAAAGCAATATTGCAGTAATATTGCAGCAATATTAAAGCTATATTGCAGCAACATTGCAATATTGCAGTAATATTAAAGCAATATTACAGCAACATTGCAATTTTGCAGTAATATTGCAGCAATATTAAAGCAATATTGCAATACACCTACAGAAAAGATTTCTAAATTTAATGCTATTACAATTCAATCTATCATAAAATAGGATAGATATAGCGACAATTATATTTTTTATTAAAAAAAGAATATTTTAATCTTAAATGGAAATTTCTTAAATCTAGAATGAAATGATCCTGATACTATTATATCTACAAAAGACGACAAACGCATATCGGTTTCGCGC